GCTCTACTTATCAAGTTATGTGATAAGAACGTGAAAGCATGTGAACACCTGTTATATGGTCTTTTAGCATGAACCTATCTGTAAGCATGAATTGCTTGATAAGCTATTTGAGAAGTTTATATGCTGATGAATCTATGTGATCAGTCTTATACATATATGAGCATGACAGCTGATATTATAGGGTGCAAGCATCTAGAAAGAATGTGATAAATCTAAATATGATTTGAGATGCGCTTATTGCTATAAAGAAATCAAATGTTTTCAAAGTAAATGCTATAATGCTTTACAGGGTTGAGTGTGGTTAAACTTAGCTTCGTGCTAACGGATGTTTTCCTATTTGTCTATGTGTTGCTTGCAAAACCCCTTTCAGGTGGGCCCAGCAGTGAGAAGAAGTCGAGTTAGATTAGTCTCGTAGATAGAGATATCTAAACTCTAGTTTGACTGATGTTATGTATGGATTTTAGACATTATCGACCCTATGTTTGAGGATGATGTAGACTTTATGGGGTGACGTATTTCCCCCTTATGTTTTTAGTTTTATGATGGATGCCAGACTTTTACTTTATTTCTAGTTTTACCCTTTTAGTCTGTGCAATCACCACGGACTGGTGGTTGTGGTGGTGACATTCCCACTAGATATCTTTTTAGTATTATTTCCGTTGCTTAAGTTTATATTAATGTTTGGTTTAGAGTTGTGTTTAAGAGATAGAAAAATGGGGTGTTACACGGTGTATACGCTATGAGTGTTGGGTTTGTGCGTTTGTCATTTGCTATCAGTTCTATGTTGTCATGCAATTGTATTCTTTGTGTAATGTTATTATTGTTTTTTTTGTTTTTGTTTTTTGGTTTCTGTGATTAATCTTTGCCATTCTCAGGTGATGTTACGGTTGAGCGGGTAGTTGTTGTTGCGGATGAGCCGGTAGATGCTGGTGATTGGTGGCACCTTTGCCACAGGCCGATGCTGCTGAAGTTCCGTATCAGCCCGCACAACCAGCCCCGGATTCGGAGGGCTCATATGTTCAGCCCGATGAAGTTGATGAGACATTATTCCCCCTCTGAAGATTCGCGCTGCACCGAAGCATCTGGTCAAAGTGTCAAACCGATGAAGCGATTTAACGCTTGCCAAAGGAAGGCGGTTGGTGAGTTGGGGTTGGGGGGAGCTGTTGAACATGCAAGTCCATGACATCCTGAAGTCATTGGTTCCAGTAGGTGAAACATACATTTCACAATTTTGGTCATCAACGTCATCTGTAATGGGTGGTGCACCTGCAATACAACAACATTTTCATAACATTTTAATTTGTTCACAATATTAAGGCCGTTAGTCAATTCCAGAAATCATATCTATGCAATCAATAACTACTACTCAAACATTCGCGAAGTAAACTATAGGAAAAGGATATCGGCACTGTAGTCGCAGTCTATGCACGCACTTATAGTTGTCTACGCACTCTCCACCAAGCTAACATCATTGCATGTTGTTATAAAATCAATGTCGTTTCTATACTTCAAACATTTGTATCATACGCACATACATCCTATTACACTAGGTCGTCCAAAAAAACTATAACACAGATAACAATAGGCACAAAAATTATTTTTAAAAAAATCAATTAACGCACCGTTTATATACTACTACGCACAGACTAGTGTTGGTCTACGCACCCTATTAATAATCTAACATCATTACAAGTTTGGTAGGGAATACCCCGACCGACATAGCGTTACCCCGACCGGTGTGCCTTCGTCCTTTACTTCTTGTCTTTGCAGGTAACATGTCGGGTTTCTTGTGAAGAACCCGGTCGGGATCCGATCGGGTGTTACCCGAGCGGCAGTGTCGACCACCGAGCGGTAGCCCTTAAGCGAGAGAGCTGACAAAGAACACGTGGCGGCTCCACGCATTGACAGGCAGCGCACCCGGGACGTTGACACGTGGTTGCTACGTGGGAAGCATGCCGAACGGCCGGATTTGTGTCTCCCGCCCCGCAGCTATAAATACCCGCGATAGCGACAGTGTTGGGGACTTTTGGACGATCGATAGGTTGTTGTTAGAGAATCCCGACTGGAGTCAGTCGGTACTCAGAGCAACCAAGTAGATTGTACTTAGGGACTTCACTGTGATCAATAAGAGTTATTTACTTGCTTTAATTGGTCTCTTATTTACTTAATTACTGCACTACGTGGCAATTAACACTATCAAAGTTGGAATCAAAATTCATGTCGTTCCACACTTTCAGAAATCAGCCCGCATGCACACACGTCTCGCTACGTTTAGCTCGTCAAACCAACCAAATAAAATTTTAATAAAAAAAAAAAACAAAAAAAAAACAAAGCCCTCCCCGCATACGCACACGCTATGCACAGACTACTGTTCGTCGATGCACCTGCCCTCTGAACTTCCGTTTCCTCTAGTCGTTACAATAAACCCGGGTGTTTGCACAAGCTACTACGCAACCACGCTCACATCTATACGCTGTTAACAGCGGCATACAAACAAACCTAACTTATAGTTCGTCTGCCCTAACAACAGGAATCTTACAAACAATTTTCCATGGCATACGCACATGCTTAGACACGCCTATGCACCTACTTGTGTTGCTACAAGCCATTCGTGAAGTGTGCTCCTTGGTTCGCCGTCTACTGCCACCCGTTCGTCTGCACTCCCTCTCTTTTTCAAGCGTTTTTTTATTTCAACAGCTGACTGCATAATACCTTTATCAATCAATTACCATTCATAATATCCCTAATTTAATGCTTAAAATTCCATTACTATCATATCCATAATTAAACACATAAATACAATTACAATTTAGTCCTTTTGATTTCTATATGTCCTTAAATAATTTAAAAATCTCTTATAATCTTAACCATTCATGGAAAATTAATCAATGGATATCATGAGAGCTCATGGACTCATGTATCATAGGGGGTGCACCGAATTCGAAGCATATATATATATATATATATATATATATATATTGTGTGTGTGTGTACTTACATATGTAGGCTTAATCTTCATGTCGCGATCACATGTCATGGGGTCTAATACATAGACTTCTTTTGATCCAACACAAATTAAATAACTAGAAGCATTATGTTAAACACTATTCACAAATAATTCAATTAAGTTATATAAATAATAAAAAAAATATAAATTTAGTTTTCTTACTTTTGATGGTATGCAGTTAAAATAAATTTCGGTCCTTCTGTTGAAACATAACATGCATAAGATATGAAGTGGCCGTATTAGAATTCAGAGCTACCATGTCCCTTGAAATTGTCTTTGGGCAGACAAATCCTATTGAGTTAACTCCAATTTTGTTGCACAACCGATGAAGACATCTAAAACGTAGATAATTAATAAAAAAAATGAAAGATTCAAGAAAAGTTGTTAAATATAGAAACATTATAAAAGATAAAAATACTTACATTATAAACACTTGTATTATGGACACATCGAGCCATTTCATCGTGAACAAGTCTTTTATGTCTTACAACATCACAAAAATGGAGTTCATATTTGAATGATGGAAGATTGCCTCCTCTAGGTCCATCTCAATGTAGTCTCTATGGGAAGGCAAGTTTCTTAGATAACGCACCAATTTTTTGAATTCATCTCCCAAGTGCTGCATCACATCATCAAGAACAAGAGGTGGTAGTAATTCTGTACCAGATTGATCACCACTTTCAAAATTCTTCATTTTTTTTTTTTTTGGATTTTCCTACGAATAAAAAATTAAAAGGTTTAATAACAAGTAGAAGATATTCAAATTGAACAAGATATTAGGGGATGTTTGGTTCATGGAAAATGTTTTCCAAAGGATTTTGAGGAAAACAAAATCCTTGGTTGGACCAAGGATTTTGTTTTCCATGGAAGATGGGAAGAAAAAGTAAATAGATGGCCTATTTTGCCCTTGCTTTCTTTTTTAATTATATTACTTTTATTAATTTGTAGGGGCATATAGGTCTTTATATTCATTATTCCTTACAATTCCAAATCTAACCAAACAATAGAATTAGTATTCCCAGTAATTCTTTTTCCACCAACCAAATAATGAAATTCATCTTCCTAGTAATTGTTTTTCCATGGAATTCCAATTTCACTTTCCTTAAAATATTTTCCGCGAACCAAACGAGCCCTTAAAGATATTTAATATTACCTGAAGCTTGTTTAATGGATCAATAGAATGACAACTGCTCCGAGTCGGTGTGCCAACCTTTAGACTAATTTGTGCATTCTTCATCAAAAATTTCAGATGAGATTGCATCATATCAAACTTAGGTTGCATCTGTTTCATTGTTTGTTTTCTAATCTTTTCAGCCACTTTGTCATAAACTTTCTTCTCCATGATCTCCTCAAGATCACTAACTGGAACAACCCCAGCTGATTTTCCACAACTTATGCTCTCCGGTTTACCAAACACATCCCGGACATTGACATGCACTCCAACACCCCTCACATAGCCACCGTGCTTATTGTTGCCAAGAGCTGCTGACAGTATATCATTCTGCATGTTTTTTTAGCTTGGAATGAGCCTTGACTCATCTCTTCACACTTCTTGACCTATTTCAACACAACAAGATTTATAAATTATATGTTAGCTAGCATTCTCATCAATAGTATATATATTTAAAGTATTTATGTTCCTTACAATTTTATTAAACACTCCCTTTGTTTTTTCGTAGGGAATGTAATAACTTCCATCTTTAAATTTTTTAGATCGCGCTCGAACCCAATCCAAGCGACAAGAAGATTGTGAAGACAATGGGTCGCATATCATCCATTTAGGTTGCTTTCCAGCATAGCCCCTATACCCTAAAAGGTGAGGATGCTAATTTCGTGCTTGCAACTCTCTACACTTATGACTTTTGGCCTAAAATAAAATCTATTATTAAATAATAACATCTAACTCTATAATAAAGCAAGAAGTTTTGCCAATCATTGTTTCCCGCCCAATGCAAACGGTGCCGTTTTAATAGCCTAAATGAATCAGTGCGCATTTATTGATGTTCACATTGCATATCAGTATTCTAGGTAATTTATCTTGGAACATCACCCAATATTCAGAATAATAAATACATCGAGAACATAAGCATAATGAATGTAATCTTGGACTATGAAACGTTTTGATCAGCCTTTCATATTTCCAAGACAGTTCAAATTCGAAAAGTCACTGTTCAGCCTCTATATAAAGCTCCCATGATAGCAATCTGCAGCCCCAAATTCACCATCTATCCACTTCGAACCACCTGCAAATACACAAAGAAAATACAAAAAACAGCAGCGAAGATACCATGCCATCTCAGTACATAGATGAGGTAGAGATTCAGAAGTTGATTGCAGACCATGCTGGTATTCATTGGTGTTGGGGAAGCCATTCAGCTTGAACTTGAAAAGCATTGCAGTTGAGGATTGCAATGTATATTCAGAAAAATTAAAGGTATAGTTCTGAGCATACCTTACTTCAAAAATGGTTGTTACCACTTATTTAATCCTTCTCTATCTCTCTTTATCATGTTTATCTTGAAAGTAATTTTTTTTTTTTCAAATTTCTCAGCTTTTCCTCTACATCTACATTGAAGCACAAAAGAAAGATCAGCAAACAAGAGGTGATTATCATTGTTTTCTTTTATATCATTTTAAAGCAGCTCTATCTCATGAAGAATTGAAATAATTGTAAAAGTTTTACTATATGAACTTCCTTCATTTTAAATATTTATGCAGTATAGAAACACTTTAGTTTTCCATGATATTGAATTGCACAATGTAGAAAAAAATTGATACTCTAGATGGGGTATTTTCATTATGCCTTTCACAATGTAATCTTCACAATGTAGGAAAAAATCTGTTTCTTGAATTGAATCTGTTTTTAGTTTTTTGGTTTATAATCTTTTTATTTATTTATTCTTAATACTAATCTGTTTTATTATACTAATAGTATACTAAATAATGTTTATTTTTTGTTATTAAACTAATCTAATATGTTTTTTTGTACTAATCTAGTTGTGTGGATTCTGAATATCGTGTACATTTTAAATACACTAAATCTACACAATCATTATGCCATACACTAAAATTTTGTGGAACGCAGTCATTAATAGCACATTAACTAAATTTTTTTTCCGGTAAAAACGATGTCGTTTGGGACCGTGTTCACCAAGCATGGTGAACACGTTTCCACGGCATAATTTGCAAAATCTACATGTTTAAAATTACTAAATATACATTATTTGATAAGATATATACCATAATGTACTTTTATTCTTTCAATATGTATTTGACATAAATCTACTTCATTCTTTAAAATTAATGTATTACGTGTATATTAATAGTGTATTTGTTATTCATGGCCCATATTCCATTATTAAAGATATATTATATTATGTATATTAATACCGTATAGTAACAGTGTATTTCACTGAATACGCATTATTTTATGTATATTAATAGTATATATATTTAATAAAGCTAAATAGGTTCAAACAATTAATTAAGGTAATCACAAGACAAGATATTGTTGGGGCAAGCATCAATTTCTCATATCTTTGGAGATCCTGTAAAGTATTTAGGCTAACTAAGAATCTACGCCTAAGAAGTGTACAATCATAGATTGAGGCTAAAGAGATTAAAGAGTTTGCAAAATGGATAGCTAATATAGGTGATGGAGTAGTTGGTAATTCAACTGATAGTGAAACAGATATTACAATTCTAGATCACTTATTGCTCAAGTGTGATGATGATCGTATTGCTGCAATTGTTGATAACACATTCCCTTTGTTTCGACGCGGTATAAATGATCTGTCATATCTTAAAAACAGTGTTATTTTGACTCCAACATTGGATGTGGTAGATAGCTTTAATCAATACATGAGTGATCATAAAATTACAAAGTTTATTATTTCAAATTTATTAGGTTTTCAAACTATATATTTTTTCATCTAATTATATTATAATGTATATATATCATACTATATATATAGCCGCGCATCGCGCGGGCGCACCTACTAGTGTTAATAATAATGAAGCATTAAGGCTAATAAAACATGATTATTAAGCAAGTGAATTACGTAGTGTACCTTAAACTCTTCAGTTTGATGGCCTTCTACAAATTTGTTCCATTATTTTTCATTCAAGTAGTCATATAACTCTGTGGGAGAGTTATATCTAGGGTGCTTTTTGTTAATAAAATCACGCACCAATCTTATTTTGAAATCTTTCCAACGTGTCTTAGCTTATCATTATACATATAATAAATCAAAATGTACTAGTGTTTTTTTTTTTTTTATCATTTTTGTATTAGTGTAACTTTAAAAATGTCTTATCATTATACATATAATAATAAATCAAAATGTACAAATTATCCATTCATATTATTAAACCAACATAATTTTTATTTCCGTTATAATCTTACCAACATTGACTCTTATTATATTTATATATTTATTATTTATATATTTAGTAGAAGTAGATTAGTAGATATAAACCACTGATTTTATCAAACATATCTCTACAAACCGCTAAAACAAATAGCTAGTAAAAACTACAAACACAATTGATTTTCCGCTAGACGGCGTTTGGTACTTTCCGACCAATTAAATTCTTGGGAAAATGTTTTCAAAGAATGTATTTGATGTGAATAACTTTGCAGGAAAAATTAATTAACGTGTTTAATGTTAACCTTAAAACATAAGAATTAATTTACCTAAAAAATTAATTATGACTTTGTTTCGTTTAAACTTTCATAGGAATTTTTTTTTAAATCTCTAATATATCCTTGTTATATACAAATATTAAAAACAAACATAACGAATAATTGAGATTTCAATAACTCACTTGTAAATTAATAAAACATATGCTAAAAAATTTTCGTCTGCAACAAGAATAAAAATACAAAATATACGTATGTAAAAAAAGTGTTGAGAGAGACAAATTTTTTCGATAAACAGTATTGTTATCCTTTGTATGGTGGGAGAGACAGATTTCTTGTATTTATAAGACACTTTTAACTTGACACCAAAAATGACAAATACTTATTGAATAAATTTGGTAGATTTCCAATCATCCGTAAAAAAAATAAATTAAAAAATAAATTTAAAAAAAAAAAAAAAAGAACCATATCCCTTATAGGTGGAATTTACTGATATAATAGAATTAGATTCCCATTGACCAGCCGATTGGAGCCAGATGGCTATTGTCTCCCTCAACTGCACAGGTTGGGCAATCTACTCTCCCTCCATCGGGGCCATCGCCGGCCATGTTGGCGGAGATGGAAGATTTAGGGGAGATCCAGGGTGATCTCAAAGCAGAAGGGAGGATGTGGACATTACCCTGCCGGGATCAGATATAACAATGGCTGAGACATCAAAAAACAATGGGATGGCGAGTCTGGAGGACCAGGCTCGCCAAGACAGATGAGTTTCATCAGTTGGAACTGTCGGGGTCTGGGCGGTACCCGATCAGTTCGTGAGCTTTTGGATATGATATCCAAATACCGACCCATGTTTGTCTTCTTGATGGAGACAAAGGCGACTGTTACCAAGATTGAAGAATTGCGAGTGCGGATGGGATTTGATGGCAAAGTATGTGTTGACCGTACAGGTTATGGTGGAGGCTTGGCGTTTCTCTGGCGAGAAACCAATGTAGCATCATTATTAAGCTACTCTAATAATTACATTGACATGGAGATTACGCTTCCCGGGAGGCCAGTGTGGAGATTCACAGGCTTCTACGGAGAACCGGACAGAACGAGACGACACATTTCATGGGATCTTCTATGTCAACTTAAAACCCGTTCATCTCTACCTTGGGTGGTGGCGGGTGACTTCAACGACATTGCATGTTTTTCGGAAAAGAGAGGTACACATCCCCACCCGGCAGCTCTAATTGAGGGCTTCAATGATGCTTTAGGGGACTGTCAACTCACGGACCTCGGTATGACAGGAGGACGCTTTACGTGGACGAAGGGGCGGGGAACGGATGCATGGGTGGAGGAACGTCTCGACAGAGTCGTGGCTTCTATCGATTGGATGGACATCCATGAGGAGACCGCAGTTTATAATCATTTTGCTAGGTCCTCGGACCATTGTGCTATTGTGGTTACCTTGGACACTACACATGTCCGGGCGACTACGCGCTCCTTCAAGTTTGAATCAGCTTGGTTGCTGGAAGAGGGGTGTGCCAAGATTGTGACTGATGCATGGCGACTATCCTCAGGCATGGATTTCCAGACTCGATTGGCAAGCTGTGGTGAAAATCTAAGGCGTTGGGGCGGGGAATACCACCGAAAATTTGGCTCTCGCATCCAACAGTTGCGTCGCACGCTGGACAGATTCCGAGAGGATCGCACTCCTCATGGTGTGACCGAATTTATGAAAGCGGATGCTGAGCTGGAGAGGACACTGCTTGCGGAGGAAGTTTTCTGGAAACAAAAATCGAAGCAGTTATGGCTTAAACATGGTGATGCCAATACGAAGTATTTTCACAAGTCCGCCACGGCACGACGAAAACGCAATTTGTTGACGAGGCTCAAGGATCCAGACGACGTCTGGAGAGAGGGCGATGCAATGAATGCTGAAGTCCTGAGGTATTTTAACTCTATTTTCCACTCCAGTACATGTAGTGCGGATCTCTTTCACCGGGTTCGGGAACGGGTGACTAATGAGATGAATATGTCTCTTAAGTTACCGTTTACGATGGCCGAAGTGAAAACTGCCCTTTTTGACATGGCGCCTGAAAAGGCCCCCGGCCCAGACGGCATGTCACCGGCCTTTTTTCAACACTTCTGGCCGGTAGTAGGGCATGATCTGGCCATTTTCATAATTAAGTGTGTGGAAACGAAGAACTTCCCGGCGAGATTAAATGAGGCTAATATCGTGCTAATACCCAAGAAATCCAATCCGACCAAAGTAGCGGACCTTCGTCCAATTGCTCTATGCAACGTGGTTTACAAAGTTTTAGCCAAGATGCTGGCTAACAGGCTGAAAGGGATTTTGGAACACATTATTTCTCAATCCCAAAGTGCTTTTGTTCCAAATCGCCTTTTAACAGACAACATCTTAGTAGCCGGGGAAATTGGACATTACCTGCGGAGAAACACGGGGGGTATTGTAGGGTGGGCGGCGCTAAAGCTTGATATGGCTAAAGCGTATGATAGGATGGAATGGTCCTTCCTGGAGGGGATGTTGAGGGCGTTAGGCTTTGAAAGGGACTGGGTGAATTTATTGATGTTGTGTGTTACTTCTGTCAACTACTCTATTCTGGTGAATGGAGTGAGTGCAGGGCAGGTGTGTCCTACGCGGGGGATCAGACAAGGGGACCCATTGTCACCTTACCTTTTCATCATCTGTGCTGAGGGTCTCTCTATCCTACTGCAACAGGCAGAGGGTCGGGGAGATATACATGGGGTGAAGGTGGCTCGTGGAGCACCAGCCATCACCCACCTATTTTTCGCTGACGATAGCCTTTTGTTTTTCAGGGCCACCGAACAGGAAGCCGCGACAATCAAGTCTTGCTTAGATCTCTATTGCATGGCGTCAGGCCAATTAATAAACTACGGCAAATCCAAAGCAATCTTTAGTTCCAATACAACTGCTCAAGCGCGAGATTTGGTCTCTATGTTGTTTGGGGTCCGTGAAGCCACGGACCTAGGCCGTTACCTCGGCCTTCCGTCTGTGTTTGGGCGGAACAAGATTGCTGTTTTCAAATACATTGAGGACAATATTCGTGCACGTATTGGGGCGTGGCAACACAGATTCT